ATAATGTAAAGTTTATTACATTAACAATTCAGAAATAAACATAACACACACTAACACACAAACACACACTCAGACACATACACACACACACATACCCCATGTGGTTTCCTTATATGTATATCCTTTTTGTTAACCTTGCAGCTTATGTAATAATGATTGTGTATTCTCTCTAAATTTTCTCTACTTTTTAAGACCTTCTGTCGTTCCGAAGTGGTGGAGGCCTGATGACCTGTAACACACCTGTGTTACAGGTCATCGTACAGGAGTACCTACTCCTACTCCTCCTATCTATAGCAGACATCAGTCTCAGACAAACAAGCATTTTCCCTCAATAGAAGATAGACAATTATTTATTTATAATAATATATAACTGTCACTTCTTACGTACGAAGTTTTTGTTAGAAAAATAAATAAAGATTATTATTTTAAATTGATCGTGATATCTGGCAAGATCTCAATTAAAACATGTTACTAGGAGGCTCTTCGTGCAGTGTGTTCTGAAGTCGACGTGAACCCATTTGAGAGGCACATATCGGAGGCCGAGAAACTCCTCAACAAATATGAATTAAAACTGAACGAGTATAATGAGACGTCCAAGGTACAGACAGACTTTGTGCCCCTTAGCGAAGTCTCATTGGCTGATGAAGCGTGGCATAGCAAAATGACTGAAGGTGAGTGACTTCTGTATCCAGGTGTCGAAGCCTCTGTAGAACAGTGATCACTTCAAAGGTGCTTTTCCATCTGAAGACTTAATGCTAGGTTCCAGATGTGACTTAGCTAATAAGACTTAGTGTTTAACAAATTTAAAACGTGTATACGCTGTGAATGTTTTTAACACTCGTTAGGTAATATACTTCTTTGGCGTACAAGATTTTAAGCAAAATATTTTGCCTAAGCTTGCTGGAATCCGCCACTGTTCCAACATCTGAAGATACTTCGCGGCCGGGATGTACTAGGCTAATAAGACTGGGTGACTTTTATAAAGATAAACGGTCGTCACGTGTGTACTATAATTAACGCGTTAGAAGTATACTTCTTCGGCGCAATAGACATCTGTTCTCATGACTTGACCGGTGTCGCCTGTGATTTTGGCAAACAGCCTAACAAAAGAAAAAATTTACTATCATCATTTTTCCCTAACGCGCCAAAAGATGTATAACTTTTAAAAAATCTAAAATGTTGACTATAGCTAACTTCAGGGTGTCGGTTCTTTGTGAAGGTGTGCGCGCGCGTCGTAAAAATTTACTCTCATCATTTTACCCTAACGCGCCAAAAAAAGAAGTAATCATTATTATTAATGCTAGTGTCTATAAGCAACAAATGTGAGGATCAGGTTTTTTTATGTGATAATAGTAGGCAAACGGGCAGGAGGCTCATCTGATGTTAAATGACACAACGGGCACTCGACACTTGGACATTCCCAGAAGGTTAGGTAGGTGGCTAGGTTGTGTGTTTTTAGTAGCTACTGAGTTAAACGATTAAATAATCATATATTTATATTAATTTCACACATAAATACACAGTATGTACTATATCCTTAACATACATAGTAAAAATATAATAGTAATAATAAAAAATAAAACGGTTGGGCCCTATGGCAGAGTACCTTTAATGCATTTCCTCGCTGTATTGCGATACTTATTCGTTGAGCGAGGAAAGCACCAGCGGAATGAAATTTTTATGCATATTCAGTAAGGCTAAGAATGTTTCAAACCTCTAAATGATAATGGTATCCACCCCAATCTTTTTTTTTATTAATTTTATTTTTTGTTTTTATTTTTATGACACAACATATAAAAATACATACAACCCCTAATTTTCACCCCTCTACAATCAACCCCTATTTTTTTATTATTGTAGAAAGTTATTTTTATTGAACTAAAATATATTTCCTAGAAATAATATACATGGCAAAACAAAAGTTTGTCGGGTCAGCAGTATTAATATATTTTTTATGTATAGCTTTTAAGCCAAATATAAACCAATAGAGTAGAGATATGAACTGTTAGACTTCACCTAACATGAAGCAAAACAGCCGAGAGACAGCTCTATTCTTATCGATTCACCAAGTGAACACTTTCATCAAGTAACTGGGACATATTAATATCAGAGGCGGCACTGCTTTCATGTTGACAATGGAGAGGAGACAGGCTCATTTGTACGCACCGATCGACCTAAATTTTCTACTTTGTGCCAATGCACAAATGCATGAGCCGAAATGGAAAAATTAATCTAGACTCGGCTTAGATTATTCGACTGATTGTCTATTGTCTGCATTAGAAGCTGTTTTTTTAATATCTGTGTTAGAATTGTTGATATATTTTTGAGTTTATTAGAAACGTAAAACATTAGACGGCTTTTGCATAAGTCAAGAGATTAGTTTGAACAAATGAGAGGTAAAAATGAATGATGATTTTCATAGACCTTAGCTTTTCTAAAATTCTTATTTCCCCCTATGTAACAAACATAATTTTTAATATAAAAAATTGTATACTTTAGAAACCTTTTCTCACTCTCTTGATAATTATAAGTTTATAGGACACTAGGTAATTTTTCAAAACATATAAATGTAAACCTGAAATTGAAATTCCAAATAATTTAAGGAAATTGTTGAACCCTTTAACAATCAGGGGTAATCTGTGGGACGTGGCCCCCACGTTGGAATACACTGGTCTAGAGGCAGCGAACCAAAAATTTTACACCGTGATAGACCCATTGGCCTAATTCGAATTCGGCGCCAGCGCAGTTACTTCGTAAAGAAATTGACACGTAGAGAAAAAAAAAAAGAATATCGCTTGTATAAGAAAAACAAATATAATTTTACAATCGCTGCTTTTATAAATAACAACACTCTTTTAGTGATGGAACGTCAAGAGAAGGATATAAAGAAGATTCAACAACTATTATCGGACGCGGAAAGTATGTGGAAAGACTTGCCAAGACTCGGAGACCTAAAACGGGCTACCAATGACACACTGGAGGCTTTGCTTGCTTCGCAAACAAATATTACTGCTGCTGGAGACTTTTGTAAGTACTGTTAATTTATAATGAAAAGTTATAAATTAACAATAATTAACATACAATTAATTACCTTTTAAAATTAATTTGCACAAACAAATAAATATCTTCTGTCTCGTAATTAGCTACTTATATATGTCACCGTAAAATTGTAAACACCGTTAGATTGTAATCTATCTCGCGAGATTGTAAGCTGTCGAAGGCGCGGGGCATATTCCGTTCAACCAATCAGCGCACGAGCTGCGATCCGTTTCACAATTTGACGGTTTCACTTCGATAGATTACAATCTACCGAATAATAATACTAAATTTTAAGCAGTACATTGAGTCACAATTTTTCGACAGTTTACAATCTCGCGAGATAGATTACAATCCAACGGTTTATACAATTTTCAAATTAATTATTACTATTTATTTAGCCCTAAGATTTCATTAAAACCATTATTATTATAGTTTTAGATTTTATTATTATTTAGTTTTAGTTGGTTTATTCTAGTGTTACATGTAATTGTATATATTTTTTTGTTAATTATTTATACACTTCTTGTACTTTATCCTATGTAGGTTTTTTTTTAGTTTTCCATACTAGGGTTGCCTGGAAGAAATCGCTTGTTAGCGATAAGGCCGCCTATTGCCTAATAACTCATGTAATCTGTTTTTTTATATGTATGTTTAAGGTAAAAAGTGTAAAGAAATAAATACATATGAGAACTAAAACTATTTAAATACTATAAAATTGCATGCATACATTTTAGAACAATTCAAACCTAGATAGCTTTTTCGTGTTTTCATATTCAACAGTAATTATTGATTTAAGGATTTCAAAGAATGTGACTACTCTGTACCAGTATTTATAAAAAAAACCCTATGAATTATTTTTTAGTCATCTGATGTGGTCGTTTGTTAAATTATATATCTATTGTTGAATCCGTTATTAAAATTAATCCCTTATTTCAGCTGCCGCAAAAATTACAACAAAAATACGTGAAATGGGAGAACATTTAGTCGCGACCAACAACGACATTCAACAGAGCTTGACGCAGGGTAACACTATGAGTGAACGAGCCTACAACGATATCCAGCACAGCTATGAAACTTTGAGAAACGAGGTAAGATTGGGCCTTAACTATTTTAAAAGGGGCCTCATAGCCTAGCGGTCTTATTAAGTGGCAGCTAGGTGAGGGGTACCGGGTTCGATTCCCGGTTCGAGGGCAAGTTTTAATTTAATTTAAATTTGTTCTCGGCCTTTGGGAGGGTTGTGCGGTACCGGGCGAGTGCCTAAACCGTACATGGAGGACACGGTCGAAGTTCTAAGGCAAGCACGAATTATTAAAATCTTATACGTGACGCTGGCTAATGCACAAACCCTGCCAGAGCCATAAAAAAAAAAAAAAAAAACTGCCCTCGTATTCAAATAGTAGTCACGTTTGTAATAAGTTTCACCGCAAGCACAAAATTTGCTAATTCGTATATGTTAATGTTACTATCAAAATACCGTTTTGATTGCATGAACTATATTACGTAAAATGGAATAGCTAACCTAATATTTAATAACGCCGATTTTACGGACAAGCAACGCTACGAGCGTATTTAAAACTAAACGGAAACAACAACGAATTCGTTTAGTAAATTATCCAAATTGGAAACTTTTATTAAAGTATATTTATAGATGTAGTTTTTTTTAATATTTATTATTATTAAGTATATATTGATTAATTATTACTATCTATAGGTTCAAGCTTTCTCAAAGAACGAGAATGTGATGTTACAAACAGCAGACAACGTTTTAGCCAACAAAAAACGCATTGAATACGGCGTCAACAGAATCGTTATGGAGGTGGGAGAGCACGTTAACTTGCAGGCACAGAGTCTTAACAAAACATTGCTTGACAGGTAAAATTAAGTAATAACAAAAGCCTTTTATTTGGGTTATAAAGTATATACAATAAAGTCTTTTCTTTTCACACCAATTGACCTAGTCCCATGCTAAGCTGGTGAAGCTTGTGTTATGGGTACTAGGCAACGGATATACATACATATTATAAAAAGATAGACATATAAATACATATTTAAACACCCAAGACCTAAGCAAAACACCAAATGCTCATCACATCGATGTTCGTCTCAGCGGGGACCCGAGACCCATGAGCAGGGTACTAACCACTAGACCCATGAGTCGTAAAAAAGTCTTATTGTATGGATAAAAATATATTATTTCTAATACAAGCCCCTCATCCGCTTGCCAAGTGGAGATCCGCCTTTGATTTTTCTTCATTCGCTTTTAATATGCGCCGCCATGTTTACGAACATTTCATGCCCTGTAATCCTCCCCCCTACATATTAATAATCTTTAGGTTAGATACAATACAAAATGAATTGATGGCAAACCAATCGCTCGCACATGGGAATCTGACAGCCAAAATAGAGTCTGAGATGTCACAAGTATGGCGGCAGATTGGCATCATGTACAAACAGATGACCGCCAGCAAGTCCACGCTTGATAAACTCACGGTACGTGTACAAAAACATGAAATTTAGCTATTTTAATCCAATATAAGAGTATTTTATTAAACACACGTATCTATAAATACTCATTCAATCAAATTGAATGTTGTCAATCACAGCGTAAACATAATTTGACAGAAAGAGACAAAGAATTATTCAATTTTTGTATCTGTGTTGGTTTTATTAAATAAAGGGTTTAATTCTTGTCACTCAATGAGATATCTTTTATCATGGCTTAAAATCAAAAACTAAATAATTTGCTTTACTAAGATTTGGCACCTTTAAGTAGTAGGTACTGATTTAATATTAATAGACTGCAGGTGAGCAATTAACATAAGTATATGTATTATTTTGTATATTATAATTTGAAATTGATTTTTTACGCGTTTAATAATAATTTTAAGCATATTTATTATTTAATGTCGCTTCATGGATATTCAAACCACGCATTTAAACGAGTTTTAATCAGTTTCTTTTAATTAAGCTAATATTTGTGGACCAACCCTTTTATTTATCAAAATCTGTCCAATGAACTTTAATACTGTCCTCATTCTACAGCTATGAAACGCATCTATTAATATATAACAACCAAGTGAATTTTTTTAATTCTAAAAAGAAAAAAGACATCATCAGATATTTCCCAGCTAGGAACAGTTTTTAGTATTTTTCTTTACTTATTATTTATGTTTCGATCACATTCAAACCAAAATATTTTTTTAAGATCATAGTCGGTCCAGCCATTCTCGAGTTTTAGCGACACAAACGAACAGCAATTCGTCTCTTCCTGTCAACTGTGATGAAAAAAACACAATACTTTATGTTATAACGGTCCATTTGGCGGATTTGTTTGTTATGAATCTATTTGTTGATATAAATTATAATTATCCTAAGTAACCAAATAGTATAATAAATAAATACTACATGTTATTATAGGGTATGCCAATTTTATTAAAGGTTACAAACGATAACAAACAGTACTTCATTTAATCTACTAATAGACAATTATACCGACAGGAACAAACCCAACAATATGTTAATGGCAGCGCTACGTCCTTGGACGACATGAAAAATAAGGTAAGCGAATTTCTCTTTATGTTCCTTAATTAATATACATTAGTATGTACTTACCAAAATATGTATTATCAAAGTATACTAACATAATTTATATATGTATAACCAAAATGAAAAAAGCAATTTTATACTAAATTTGCCAAGATGAAATATAAATATACACAAAAATGGTCAAATATATACGAATGGAAAAATTCAATAAAAAATGTTAAATACTATTAACTATAATGTTGTGTCATGATGTTTACATCACTTTAACGTGAGGGTGTGTATGTGGGGTGTGCTCGTGATGCAGGTTAATTAGCGCTATGGATATTTTTAATTATATATACCTAACTTAATATAATGATTGTCTTAATTATCTATAGTAAAAAATCTGTTTAGATTTATGTTTTTTTTTTTCGGAAGAACTACGATTTAGGATGAACTATTTATACTTAGTTAATCCGACCCTGATATCTAATAACAAAAATTATTGAACACTAATAAACTATTTAGAAACGAGACTTAGTGCAAAGTCGGACTCCTATACGAGAAAAATATATTCGATTTCCGAATTTCGTTTTCAATCATTTCAATCACCTAACCGTTTGTATGTAGATTAGTTTCAAGGCATTATTTTTATGTAGGTGGGATTTATTTCAACCCGAATGATTGAAGTGCAAGAAAATCTGAATTTCTTATTGGGAAGTTTGAAGCTGGTCACCGAAGAGTTTAGTCAGATCAAGACTGGTCTTGGCGATGCCCTGGATAAAGCCAAAACTGACTTACATGAAGTGCGATCAAAAATCAAAGGTATTTTTTTTAATATTCCTAGTACAACATTTCTTGAAACCGATGTCCATTGTGTGTCCACAAATTTAATTGTCTGTTAATTAGTATAAGATCCCCAACGCCTCACATACAACGACCTTCCCCGGGGATGCTTATTTAATGAAACTTATTTTAAATTTAATTTAATATGTCAATAAATATAGTCCATATGGTTGCCTAGCAAATTTCAGTCCAGAGTATGTCGATTAAAAAAAAAATTCTAGTTTATAATTAGATGAAGCAAATTAATTTTTAATAATATTTTTAATAGGGTAGTATTATATATTACACTATAACCTTCTTTTATACTAAAGATGTATATATACTGTAATAACCAAAATAAGTAATTGATTAAGAACAACCTAACTTTTCATATTCTATGGGCTTCATACTTTCGATTGGTATAGAATTTATACATACGGTGAAATGTTTAAAAAAATATTTTTTTTTAATTAATTAAAAATACTCTGGACTGAAATTTGGCTAGGCAACCCATATGGATTATACTTAGACATATTAAGGAGGTTTTGTAAAATTAGTTTATTAAATAAGCATCTCGGTGAAGGTCGTTGTTTACGGATTAGACCATGAATAATTTTAAAAACTTTACAGATGACGGGGCCGGATGCCGATCAAATAAATTCAAGTTATTCGTGAAGCCAAATAAGTAGTTAAACATTAATAGACTAACTTAAGAACGAAAAAATTTTTATCGTCTTCGATATTTTTGCTACGGTATTGTAAATTTTAGGCATAGTCACTGAGTGGTCACAAAACGTTTTACTATAGGGTACAGAAAAGGGGAAGTCAATAATCTCGAAAAATTGCGTGACGTAATACTTGAAAGCTCCCTTATGACCCAATTAAAATATTTAAAAAATTAATATCAATAAATAAAACACATTATAAACTTTTGCAAATATTTAATCTCTTTCATAATTGTGGATCTATAATATTTATATTGTACAAGTTATGTTACAATTAAATTATCGTGACGTTGCGTCACCGACGCCTGAGCGCAAACCAAATGAATTTTTGACAAAATCTGTACATTGGTATAAATTCATAACCATAATATACACACAAATTATTTGTCTTGTGATTATCTATTACAACCTCATTTTCCTATGTGCAAACAATCGCTTATACACAGGCGCGGATCTAGCTAGATTTTGACAAGTTCCGAAATGTTAAAATCGTAGAATAATCGAGTAAATTAAGCAAATATTGAAATTAGACAGACAATCCGGCCTCGAATTATGCGAAGGACCATTTCTTTATTATGTACTTCTTAGATCCTTGTTGTTATTACATGTAAATGTATTCATTCAATTATTCTACAAGATTAATTTTGTTTAACACGTTTCGTTGAGATCTACGCCTGATACAATTATGTAATATCAAGAAAAAAAGTTCGTGCCCTTATTTGAATATTCGTGTTAATATAAAATGTATCCAAGAAATACAAATAATATCGTTTATATTGAATTTATTTCATAATTATAATTACCTAGACGTACTTTCGTATATTTTAATACAAGTCCAAAATTATTTGTTTCACTTATATTAAAATGGTTAAAAATTATATACATAGCAAAATGATGATTGTACATAGGTCGATATCAAATTGGACAATTCCTAAAAGCATGATTATTGAATAGCAATCAAAACTAGGTAGACTAGGCATTCGTTGTCGATAAACAGCCTGGGACCATACGATCTAAACAAATACGGAATGTACACATAAAGGGAATGTAAAATACCGAATATAAGCGAACTGGTCATCACCAAACATGAAATCGACGGCCAAAAATATTTAAATATTAGAGGCATATTTTCTGGCAGTGGCGAATCTAACACACATACATTCGAACAGTTTATACACGTGAAATACTATATACATCGATAAACGTTTATATTTATGCAAAAAATATTTACAGATTTCAAGAAAGCACTTAACAATCCTCTCGCTACGCCCGAAAACCTACCATTATTAACTAACCGTTTGAATAACACTTGTGCTTACACTACAACAAAATGATTATAAAAATAAAATGTAACACCAACCAATACAATATGTAACAAACAGAAATTAAACAATATTAGAGATCCATAGAAAAACAAAAGACGAACGACCCTCTCCCAAAGTGTAAAACAAATGACAGTCCCACTTTAAATCTGTACGACGTTCTATTGTGCGTATTACCAACCCCCAAACACATCCTTAAATGCCTTCGATTACGCCCAGATCTTTGAATTCTTACATCCCCCTACATGTGCCCAAAATATTCAAAATTCATTTCATAGAAATCAAGTGGTTTGAGCCAGCCGTTCCACAGCCAGCGGCGCTTCTATTAAGCATTCGTATCCTAACATTAATATCTATGAGTTCAGTGTATTTGTGCAATTTATATTCGTAACGAAATAGACATTCTGGTATACCCCAATGTTTAGAAAAACCTCACCTATAACTACAGTCCGTACAAAACTACCCATATGTACTATATTATCTATATTTCACTATGCCGCCCAAGGATTCGTCTCGAAGCATTCTATTATCCTAAGTTATTGTGAATGCCTCAGTGTGTAACCCTAATACCGTTTACATATTACCAATTAATACCAGATAACACTAATCCTGATGGTACATAGGAAGACATACAACTAAACACAAATCGGGACGAATTAAGCCAATATTGGAAAATGAATGTTGCGAGGAAGCCAAAATCAGTCGACCACGTCCGTCCTTCGCGAGCGGCAGCAACGAAATAACCACCGAGGCACTTGACCTTAAGAATAATGATATACTACACTAGTAAGTAGCTCATCGTTCGGGAAGGACCGTTGATACAACGGATCTGATACATTTAAAGCTATGGACATGTCTCACGTACTAATTACAAGTAGCCTAGAGGGTCTGAAAGTAGCTTAGTCTATACTAACGTTACGCCCATAACCGGTGCATAAAGTTGGTGTCGCTTGTGTCTGATAAATCTAAGTGACATGATAAAAGTATTGTGTCTCCCTGTTAGTTGAAAATTGAACGAGTGCAGTAGTGAATATAAACACCGGAGTAAGCGATGACCGCGCGAACAACCCAAGATTTATGTATAATTTTAAAACGCACAATTATGTACAAATACCTTTGGAACTGAACTTAAAAGTCTGGCATGGCACTTCGTCACAGGAATGAAAGGCAACAAAACAATTCAATTCCTATGAAAAATATTTTTGAAATTACGAGAGCGACTACAGTTATGCATATTTTATTAAACATTAATTTGGTCACTGGTACAACTTTGTCGGTCGGCCTTGAAGGCGAAATTCATAGTAATAAGCTCCAGTATGAAATATGCACGAATACTGAAGCGGCCTGCCGTACTGTTCAAATTGCCATGCACAGCTTTACAAAATATTAATCTTATGTACATATTGTCGCTCGAAGATAAGAATAAGAACTAACATCTAGGAACAGTACATATTAAAACAGTAACTCAATTCCATATGGGTATTCTAATTGTCTGCACTAATAGATAGAACCGAACACCAGGACTCGTAGAGCTCTGGCCTCTCCAAGTCTATCAGTGCAGACTCAAACAAGGAAATAATTTAAGGTCTGCTTTGGAACCTGCAACCTCATTGTTAGTACTAATACAGCCTCATTTGACACGTGAATTTCTAGGACCTGTAAATATTAATAAAATTACGCAACAATCAACATAGTACAACTAAAACATTTAAAACTAACATAAAAACATTTATTGTATGAAAAGCTTAGGCATTTTATGTAAAACAACGCGCAATCAAACAAAAAATTAAAACAAGCATAGAAGCGCTAAAGCTAGAGTTGAGTCACTGCCTTTTACATGTACTGTGGTTCTAGGTAGGCTTAGTACACAGAAAAGAGAAGTGCCAATATGCTGTAAAGCACTAGTAATGATTATAAAAAATAAAAAAAAATCTTTAAGGGAAGTTAAGGTAATAAGAAGCTCTTTTGGGTTTGTGATTATTGTAAATATCAATAAGGTGTCTTCTCATAATTAGTTCTCGTACATTAAAGCATAAAGGCTTGGCATCTCAATGGTCATATTCCAAATTCAAAAATATAGAATGTCATTGACAGTTCGACAGCTGGTCAATGAATATGAATCTCGAGATCTCTTTTCTGTGGGATAATAATTCTCTGGGAGGTTTACCTCCTCGTGCTCTTGGAGGAAGGTCGCGAGTGGGACTGAGTGTGGGGGGTCGCGACCCCCCCCCTCTCCTAACTGGAGCAAGACGCTACAGAAACGGGTGACAGTGGAGAGTCGCGGGGGCAACCGGATAGTGTGACTACCACCTGAAACAAATTCTAACTGATAATAACCGAAGATATTGTCAACATGATCCTGATACTTAAAATCAAAATATGGTATTGCTCGTAAAAACTCTGGTAGCCCTAGCCTCTTGAGAAAAATCTGTCATGGCTCGCTCGCTTGGTTAATTTGGATTGAATGACAAATTTAACCAATTCAAAAATATCTTTTATTGGGCTAAAATGCATTTCATTAATACTTAATTAACAAATTTTAATTTATGATGTGACAATAAAACATCACAAAGAACACATTGATTAAACAAACAGTACTGGGTTTTGAAGCAAAGCTTAAAACCTCTTTTAGTCCATCAAAACTTAATCAACATGGTAAAAGAACAAGATTCGTTACCTTTCGGCTGCCGGCATGGTTTCTATGTTCACAGAGCCAGACTCCTTGCCATGTGCCCAGGTTTAATTTTCCATCTGTGATTGGTATGGTCAGCGATGATCCCAAGAAGCATGCCTTCACATGGGCCGGCTACAGAAAATTAATTTTATTACATTATGAAAATCAGTACATAGTATATTTAAAATTTAAATCCTTCGTAAAAAAAAATGCCTTTAGATTTATTACTATCCTGTGACAAAATGGTTAATACACATGGCACATGCAAACACAGTCCCGAGTTCAGTTCATGGTAAACCATTAATTGTGGTTGGTTACAGATATGTACACCCCAAGCTCTATTGGGAAGTCATGTCAACTTAAAAAATCCTGTATAAATGATATAATTGAAGTAAATCAGTTTATTGAATTGCATTAGAACATACTTAATGGTATATTATAAATAAGAACATATTATTAAAAATGTCTGCCTATGGTCTTTATAGGTAAGATATGACAGCTATGAGGATTTGTTTTGATGTTTAAAAGACACAACACATAAATATAACAGCAACATGTTGTATAACAAGCATTGTAGTTTGAGAACACTTATCACTGATAACAAGCCAAGGTCAAGAACACATCTTTGAAATTTTTATGCTTTAGAAGAAATTCATTTCATATTGATTTAACCTAGTTAATATTCTGTTAGTTGCACTTTATAACATTTTTGATGTATGTTGGGGCATATGTTGTTAGTTTACAAAATGTACCCTATTAGTTCTTATTAGAAATCTTTTAAGCCTTTGTAATGATTGTAATATATGTCACCTAATAATATTGACATTCACATTGAACATTTATCACAGCACCGCTGATAAGCAACCAAATGTATATGATGCAAAATCTGAAGCCTTTATAATTACATATTTAGATATAATGATAATTACAATGTTAAATAATCTAGAAATTTTTTATTGCATCTTTAAGCTTACAGCTTAAGAATGCTACGAAAATATTGTGGTTAGAATATATTTTTAAACAATTGAAGAAATTCTTCTAAATTCAAATTGGACACAATAATTGTACTCACACAACAAGTATAATAAGGATTGTACTGAAATAAATATTTTAAATTAAGAATACATAGCAATTAACCTACCATGTCGTCAGGGCCCTCGCAAGAATGGCGGTAAGGAAGACCCTCTGGTACTATTTTGTTGAGCATCATTTCCATATCATCCCTCACGTCTGGATCCCAACTTTCGTTTAGCGCTAGACTCGCCGATGTGTGCATTACTGAAAGTGTTAAACACGAAAACCTTTACCGAAATGTTTACAATAGAGCAAACAACGAAAATTTATAAATTACTAATAACAACAAATATTACAAATATACCACAATAATTATTTCAAGTGGGAGGGAATGCAGCATCGACGAATACTTACTTTGTATATGGCAAAGCCCAACAGCGAACTGCGACAACTCAGGCACCTGCTTGAGGATCTCTTCCGTAACCAAGTGTACGCCCCGGTGCTGCGGCCTCAAATTGAGTTTCCGTTGGAACCACGCGGATCCGATCTGAATTCCTCGGTTTGAGGCCATGTTTAATTTTTTAAAACGCTACAGAGTGATCGTAAGAACACAAACGATATTACACAACATCACTTAGAACAATCTTTGCACAAAACAAACCACAATTATCATAAATGATACATTTTTAATCTTTAGATTGTAATAAATATAACTGAGGTTATAGGACAGATTCGACACCCTATTTTCTGCGGGAAAGTGAAACAGTCTCGAAATGAAAGAGAAAAGAGATGAGTTTGTGTTGTCATTTCAGAAAATCGAATTTGACACTGAATAAGAATGCCGTCTGTCATTTTGGTCCATGAGTTCTATGGGCTGTGCAAAGCACATTGTGCGGCAACAACAAACAAGGGGTTCCATACGGTTACGACAGTTTAAATTCCAGTTTTTCTCCTATAAATGCATTTTTATAAATCGTTTGAGCTGTGGCGTAAGTGTATGTATTGACATTGTTTTCTCAAAACACGTGTAAATAATTTTTCTCCATATTATGGCAACACTTAACAGAGCGCGGGAAATTTGACTAATATTGTTTTAAGCATTTTTAATCAAGAAAGGTTTCAAATAGATATTATGCTGATAACCTGTAGGTTGACTTCAGAGAAAATTGAGATAAACTTGATTACTGCATTTTATAATAACAAAAAATAACTTTTAACTGTACTTGAATATAGAACGTAGCTTTCCTATAAAACTTGGGTGTGCCGTGGGTTAATAAACGTAAAATAGGTGCGGCTATTAAACACTCCATGGAATTGGGACAATTAGTTTTTCTTTCCAAGGTGTTTTGTCACGAAACAGGTCTTGTTGTCCTAGTTTGTTTGTAATTGTGGTGCGATTATCTTTCTCCATCTCGTTACAAATTTACGATTACTATGGCGGATCCGTTAATGGATCTTATAAAAAATTCAGAAGAACCGGAATGGCTCGAACGGACCGTAATAGGTGAAATGCGAGTATGGCAAATAATGTTTTTATGTATAGCTGGTCTTACGACTTCAAGTAAGTGAACCTAGTAAAATAAAAGATAAGAAAGTTTCATAGTGTATGTATCCTATATTATTTCCTATATGTATTTTTTATAGAACGGCTCACCCGATGTTAAGTAACACCACTGCCAGAAGGCTCGCAAGTGCGTTGCCGGCCTTTAAATATTTGATTAGCTCTGTTCTTGTTCTCGTCATTTTTTTTAGGTTTTTATACAGTATAATAAATTAAAATCTTATAATACTTACACGCAGGGCGTGTTCGTAAACATATTATCTGTAAGTAATCACAAACAAGCATAATATTTAAAGGAGTGTTACATGACATCATGTAGAAATCTTTTTCTTTTAAATATACAGAAACTTTTTCAATTTTTTTTACAACAAGTACAAAATTATTGGAAATAATCTTATATCTATCATACAGAACCTTAAAACTAACATTATATAATAAAATTTAGAAAAATATAGTAACAATACTAACCGAATCGACTTATGATTGTACGCTTAAATAAGTCAATTATTATTATAACATCATACTGTATATACATATATATATAAAGCTATGCATAATGAGATTTAAATTCCACTGGAAGTCATAGCAATAAAATGATCAAGAGTTTTGTACTTAGAAGATAAATATCTGCTGAATACCTAAGTAGCTGTCTGTGTCTTATCTTAAAAATACTAATTAATCAGAGTCACAATGAACTGACGCCCTTAATAAAACATAAAAGAATGCGATACTATCTTTGGTTTACAAATTATTTAAAAATAAATTTTTCGAACGTTTTTATATCTCCTAGGGACTATTTTAAGCAATTATTATTAATATCGTTTGCAAACACTATCAGGTCTTGTAATATTTTTTTACCCGAGTCGGAACATTAAAAAAAAACATATGGCGGAACACGTTCCGCAGAACTATGGAAGCGTGCCGTTATCACACTTCATAGATTTTTATGAAGGATTTTGGTTATGTGAGATAACATGCTAGTATTCTAAGCGGCTACACTACTTCTTGCACTTGTATTTAACAGGCCGGCTACGCACTTGCGAGACTTCAGGCAATGAGAGTGTTCATGAGGTATCATTAAACATCAGATGAGCCTCCTGCCCGTTTGTCTCCTATTTTAAAAAAAAACTCGACCGAATATTCATCCAATATTATTTCCTGTAGTTTGCGAGTTACGGAGGGAAAACAAATATACATGATTGGATTTGCATACCCTGGCTGCCTCAAAATCATCTAATCAAAGTCTTAAAAGCCAAGAGTCTGATTGCAGATTACTGAGGGAAAAACACTAATTTCCTATTCCCGCTCTTTATATGCTTGAATTATATTCGCAGAAAAGAAAGATGAAAGAAAGAAAGGAATAACTTTATTATACATAATAAAAAAAGTATTTTAACTTAAAAGTAAAGTGCAATAGGCCCACACTAGGATTCCCTGTGTCGTGGGCAGCCAGTCTCTTTCTTTTGACATCTTAATGATACTTGACATAATAATTTCTACAGAACACTGACATTACACTTATCTGTAATATTTTCTTCGTAGTCGTAATGGTGTGTTGTTGTTTCCGTTTCCGTATTCCTCGTACAAAGCAACAGATCGAGGCAGACTACAAACGTCGAAGAATAACGAGAAAGTTCAGACAACAACTGGAGACTATCCAGGATGCCAAAATGGACACCATTTCTTTAAAAGACGGTATTATTTGTTATATAGACCTCCGTGCGTAAACGCATCTTGTGTATTAATTTTCTTCTATAGAGATCGCTTAGTAGCGATAAGGAGTTTATTTATATCTATTAACACTTCGTTGCATACAGGCATATTGCGCCTCCCCCCTCCTTTTGTCAGCAAAAGTAAGCAAAGCTCTCAAAAACAATAGTACATAAACGTATTAGATTTTTGTAGGAATCTTCGATTTCAAGCATAGACAATGTGTGGGTAATATGTGTAAAAAAAGTAAATAATTACTGTTGACATAATCACCAAATAAGAAAATCAAAGACCCCATTTAGTGCTTACGTAATACTTGAACGGCACCATAATTAAATTGACATAGTTAAATAGAAGGAGGGCAACTGGCAGCCTTATCGCTTCTGAGTGATCTCTTCCAGGCTACTGTGAGAAAAGTAAAAAATTAGATAAGGTAAGCAAGAAGTGCCAAAATACATAAGACATAGTTATTAACAAACATTAGGTATACAAAACAAAGCAATTAAAACATACAATATTTAGAAAAAATAAAAAATACTCGTATGTGGAATAACGTATTAATAAATAAATTAAAAAGTAATCCTGTGGCAAATACCCGGAAAAACATATCTTACTATTGTAACGATCGATAAGAGATGGGCCTACCAATTTAATCTTAAAATATTAACTATTACTTATTATTATTGGGGGGCTAATCAAATCAAATAAAAAAAAAACAGTAGCGGAGAGTTTATTGCCAGTTCTTCTCTTCCGTTCTACGCCCTTGATTAGAGAACTGCCAGTAAATGTAAAATATTTATTTTTTGACGTTCATAAGTTTACATTTCGTTACCTATATTTAAATGATATTTGAATTTGAAATAATATATGATTACTAGCTGACCCGGCAAACGTTTGTTTTGCCAATGTATATTATTTCTAAGAAAACATTTTTTTAGTTCAATAAAAATAGCAATCAACAATAATAAAAAATAGGGGGTGATTGTAGAGGGGTGAAAATTAGGGGTTATATGTATTTTTGTATACTGTATCATAAAAAAATTATTAAACAAAAGGGGTGGACACCCCTTATCACTTAGGGAGTTGAAAGATAGATAGTAGCCGATTCTCAGACCTACTGAATATGCATATAAAATTTGATAAAAATCGGTCGAGTCGTTTCGGAGGAGTATGGTAACTAACATTGTGACACGAGAATTTTATATATAAGATTATAGCAAGTAAATCTATGAAAGTATTAAGTACCTATAAAATTCCTGATGAGTCGCGAGCTCACATCTAAAATAAATACTGTAACAGGTACGTTAACGAATATCTAATATTTGATAAGATAATATTAATTTCATATTAGCATTGGAGCTCCTGCACGAAACATCTCATTCGATGGAGGAAAATCAGGGATCACCGCCTAGTTCCATCATGTCACCGCAACAGTTGAGTGAGTATTATTCCGTCGTAAACTAAAAGATGGTCATTCGTCTCTTTCTATCTACTTATGTTTACACTAAGCTGAAAAGAGACCAGTGATATATTAATATAGTCTTAATAGACTAATATACTTCTTTGGCGTAACAAAAATATTTTCAAAATGTTTATTCTACTAGGTCGAATTGGTTCGGTAATACTTTATTGTGCAGCTATGTCCACATAGTGGTGTTGAGCTTCAATAACTGCCTTACAAAACGCTCAGATGTGGAACGAGGAACGTTGAGGTTCAGCGAAGGGCTTGTTGAATTGTCAATCTCCAATGTCTTACTGATCGGCTTGATTCTCTCTCTCTACGCAGAGAAGGGTCTCTTTGCGTTTTCCATAAAGTGTACTACGGTGACCGTTCTGAAGAATTGTTTAGGTTAATCCCTCCTGCCTCGTTTCAACACCGTACGAGCCGTATGAATTCTAAATTTCACCATCACCTTGATGGCTGGAAGTCTTCCACAGTCCGTTTGGCGTTTCACCAGGCATTTTCTTTTGCAAACTAGCGAACTGTGGAATCGACTCCCGGTGGGGTTCTTCGCTTAGAGATACGACCTCATACTGTTCAAAATTCGAGTGTACTCCTCCCTCAAAGGCCGGCAACGCACCCACTAAAAATGGGCGTCCCGCAGGCTCGTTTATTATATATAAAGAAGAGGTGATATGGGTGGAATTTCGTATTCTGCCTCGACGTCCGATGATGAAATACGACAGCGGTAATTCACTCGTCTTTGTAAATTTGATATTTTTAGAGGTTTTAAAACACATTTATAAAATTGTCTGATACAAAGCAACATCGCCATAAGTACCTTAAGCTGCTACTGGGCTACTTGAGAAACGTGTCAAGTGAAGATTTTGATTCCTACTTATTAAAATATAAGCACTGCTTGTTTCTTTTGTTTAAAGTCTCTTATACTCTACAGTACGGTTCCGTTTCATAAATCATACCATACAGAAATAGTTGACCCATTTTTCAAAGTGTAAATTTAAAATACAAGCAAAAGTTAAACGTTATATTAAATGAGGTCCTATTGCTTTATATGGTTATAACTGCCTAATGAGTTGCGAGACTGCAAGCATACGAGTAATTATTTAATTCATAATAAACCTTAACGTATATGGTATATTTTAATATTTTTTTGACGCGAAGAACCATTGAATGATGAATGATAAAAGTATGCGTTTCGCGCCTTTTTTTTATTGTTTTTTACAGTTAGAAACATTTTTATGTTCGCTATCGGTATCTAGTGATTGAAATATGAAAATACCCACGGTCTAAATTTGAATATTATTGCAATTAGTTGTAATTATTTCGTTAAGAAAACAAACTAAGAGTATGTCAAAAGAGTATCGAAAGTGTTCTTGGTCTGAAATTGAAAGATAGAGTACAACTAGAAGAAATAAAAGAAATGACACATTATGAGGGACAAAGATAAATGGACGAAATAGCGATGGAATGGCTTTCTCGCTCTGACAAAAGAAAACGAGGAAAACAAATAAAAATATGGGAGAACGATATATGTAGAGCAGAGTTCCCCAAACTTTTTTGTGTCGCAGACCCCATGCCATTGTTTTTCCGTCTTGGGTAGACCCCCTGGTACTTACCTGATATTGATTTCCTGTAAATTTCTAACTGTAGTGAAGTTTAGTGTTAAAAACTTAAAGTAAAAACACATGTTAATTTATACATTTATTAATTGAATTTAAATTAAAACTACTCAACATAAAATTTTGTATCTGTTATGTAAAATATATGTAGCATTAAATAAACATAAAATAAACTATAAATAAAATAACAAGCAATAAGTCAATATTTTTAGTGAGAAGCATGAACCTGATGCTTTAATAATAAATTATCAACATTTGGCGTCAATTTTGTAACCCCCATTTTCATTTCATAGACCGCCAAATTTTTTTTCGCTACGTACCCCTAAAGGTCGATAAAGACCACTTTGGGAATCACTGATGTAGAGTAACTGGCCCTATGTCATATGTGGCTACGTAAAGCTAGACACCGAGAAGACAGGAAGCTCTAAAGGCTGATTTACACGTATTAAGTTGCCAAGTCTTAACTAAATTTCAAGCGACTTAATTTTTAGTAACCGTTTACACGTAAAAATACTAAATAACTAGTTAAACTCATTTATTCGCTCAAGATGGACGACCACAGAACAAATATACCCCTAGCTTATTTTTGTTTCAACTTCTTTAACACCAAAATTTGCAATCGCCATGGCTGACGATGTTGTTTTGCTTGGTTATTTCTGTAATTTAATCTTTTAATATTCCATAAACAATCGTCCTTTATGTATTCTTCAATGAACTTTGTTGTCGTGTCTTCCGTCCACTTCGAAATTTTCGAAAGATTTTTATTTATAAATTAAGTAGGAACTACGTTGCAATCACTCCGCCAGCTTATGCTTTTCACTTAAATTTCACTAAATTTTGCCTGTCCAAACGTGTCAAGTGATTAGCCACGCCCACCAACTTAACCGAAAAATAGACAAAATTCTATTCTACCTTGTTTACTTGCAACTTCTTACTAAATTTACTGTTTACACGGGTTAAGTCACTTATTTAAGTTAAAATTTAATCAATTTTTAGTCAACTTGATACGTGTAAATCAGTAATTAAAATAAACAAATGAGGAAATAATCGATTCGATTAATTTACCGAGAATGTCACATCACTTATAACCAATAGAAAAGTAGAAAATGGCCGTTTCACAATTTGACGGTTTCACTTCGATAGATTACAATCTACCGAATAATAATACGTTAAATTGTAAGCAGTACGTTGAGTTCACAATCTTTCGACAGTTTACAATCTCGCGAGATAGATTACAATCTAACGGTGTTTACAATTTTACGGTGACATGTCCAAGGACAAGTTGTAAAATAGAAATTAGGCGGCTTGTCGATTAGTTATTAGTTTTTATAATACATCACATTTTTATGTAAGCAGCAATAAAGGCTATTATTGTTAATTTGTTGTGCAGCACACAGAAGCATTGGTTTCGGTCTCTTTTATTAGGAGCCTTTACCTGTTTGCATGTGCGCTTGCGGCAGTCTTAGAATATTGATTCATCCGAATCCCTTTTGAAAAACGAAACATTGTATCGCGTCGTTACAGTAATTGTCCAACCAATCACATTGCAGCTTACACGTATCATTTATATTCTAGGTTCACTAGAAACATCATTCCATCCTGACCAAAAACCGGATCTTCAGACTTCAAACTCCGGACTCAACTTCGTCAAGTTCGCGACTAAAGTTGCCAACTTATCGAAGCTCAGCCAACCAAAATCTCCCACTTCACCGACAGCGCCGGGTAAAATGGATTTTTAATGTCATCTTTTATTGGAATCATTTTAGATGTTATAGTAGTAGTAGCATATATTATGTTGTTAATTTTTGTAGTAAAGATCATTGTAGATATGTATTTATTTATTTATGTATTGATTATGTCGTTAATTCAAGCTTATATGACGCTTTAAGCGTATAAGTAGATTTAATAAACATATATTAAAACGGAAGTCTCTCAAATGCTTCCCTTTATGAATTTAATTATTCGGTAAATAAATCTATTACGCTATCATAAGAGTAACTGTTACGCTGTTTCACAATGTATGGATAATTCATAATACCAAATAGCTATGCAACACATAAATTATTTGGAAGATAAATTGTGCTATTTAACACTTCATCGGACTCATAACTTATGATGGACTTTATGTGACGAATAGCGCTATCTGACAGTTGTGAAACGCAACAATAGAGTTTATCCTACCAATAAGTAATAAATAGCTAATTTGGAACTTATGTAGAACTTATCCGTACATCGTGAAACAGACCCTAATTTAATAAATTCTGTGAGCGGCTGTAAATATTTAGATTGACTTAGCGCTGACGTTTTAACATATTTATACTTTTTTCTAATTCGTATTTCAAGTGACAATCTCGGCTCGCTGTCAAACGTCATACAGAAATAATTTGACAGCTTGAAATTAGTTTTTAGTTAATTGTCTAAATTTTTTGGATCAGTTCAGCAGTTTTAATGACTTACGGCTTCTATATAATATATATTTTACAGAATAATACAATCTAAATTATTGTATATTACATTAATTGAAACTGTGTATTAATGTATCAATAGTCTTGTTAAGAGAGAAAAATGCATATAAAAATAATTCTTCGATTTTTTGTTGCTTAATTTTTTAACTTACCATTGATTATAAAAAATCGTTATTAATACGTATCCTTCTATCAAATCTTTCAACAGTAGAAATAAACACTGCCTTTTTGGATAGCCTTAGCTTAGCGTAGTAAATAAAAACAATAACAAACTGCATTAAGATGTTTTCTTTAATCTAGAAAATAAAAAATACGGTATAAACGGATTTTCGATCACAAGAATAATTACATATTCACAAATAACTTTAAGTGTCCTGTTATAATCTCGCACTGACAATAAAATCATTATGTAAGCTTAAAACATTATTTAACTTACATTATAATACATAAATAATACATCTTGCAAATAAAAATTACATAAAAATTCAAGTTAGCTACATAATATTAATTAGTTAATTGTTTCTACATGCTCATAGAAGACCTGTTTGTTTGACTATCCTGACTGACACTTGGACAAAATAACCTAAACTTTCACTCCGTCGCTATTAACACCGCAATTTCAAACATTATCCCTAAAAGGCTGTTACGTTGGGTTGTCAAACGTGTCAATTGTCATTTGGAGCAAGTGTCATGGTGGCAGCGGCATATTGGAAAATAATCGATTAAGGCGGGAGTTCGTAAGCAGTTTTCGTTCTAAAATTGTTTTGACAATTAGCATTAATAAATTAAGATTTAATAATTATATTTGACTTTCGAATTTGGAACAGCTATCATAACAGTAAGCATAGATAATATTATTAATATTTTTTAATTTCATAGTTTTCATTCACTAAATCTCTAAGCTCTACCACGACTCTTAAAAGTTTAAACCGCAAACGTAGACGTCAAAATTTGTATAAAATTCGTAAGTGTTGCGCACAACTAGGGGCGACATAAAACGTACGAGTATTTGACGCGCGTATTACGTCAGCGATTGACACTTTGTCAAACTCATGGTAGAGCTTCTAGTCTTGCCACGTACCTTGGACATATTTTATTTGGTGGGGAGACGTGAATATGATTTTAAAACCCAAGAAAATTAAGTAATAATAGCTCAACCGCTTGGCGCAGCTTGTTTTTGCACAAATTTACCTTAGATTGAGAATTTTTGACTAGATGGCACCTCACGCGAGATATGACTGACAACCCAACGTTCGCCCTCTAAACCTATTCCTTTACAATGATCAAACATGTTTTTGAGCAATCTATATCCGTGCAAAAACTAATGTGTCCAGTACCTATGACGCTACATTGAATTCATGGAATAAAATTTCATTAAATATCAACGACAGATTAACAAAATGGAATATCGAATTGCACTTTTCATACATTTGATCAAGGCCTAAACTAGCGATTCTATAGAGACCAGACAATCGAAATCGGTAAATAAGGCCATATTGATCCAAGTCACTCGTCTATGGAAGAAACTATCGAGATATTTATACACTTTCACTTACATGTTAATAATTGAATGCGACCTACCTAAAAACAAATTTCATTAAAGTTATTATTGTTCGTATATTGCATACCTATGTAACTAATACGCAAATTTAATAAAAGGATTCCAAGGAATTTGTGCAACACCTTACGTCTGCGATATACATTTTTACAAGCAACGGAACAGGTATACATTGTACTGAGTATCTCAAGTGTCGAACCTGTTCCGAGATACTCCAAATACGCTAAGGATCGGTGAGTAACACAATTACGTAGCTAACGAAACCCGATGGACACTACTGGTAATAAACGTTTTCATTTGCCAGTGTACAATCAACGCCAAAGTTGCTCGAGTGCGCTTTTGACGTTGACTGTACCCACACAATAAGAATTAGGAACCCGAGTCACAATCGCAGTGCCACCTCTCTAATAAACTCTTGTAAAGCATAATTTTGTTAACAAGAACTACAGAAACATTCAATCACTAGGTTAGGCTTGGTAACAATGTGCACATTTCAAATTGTCCGAATATTGAGCTTGCAACAAATAAATAACGGTTTTTGTGACCTGATCGGTTTTTTGGTTAATTTAACATTGATTACGAAATACGCACATTGTGGATTTATTGGGTAACGCGTTCATTCCAATACAATACATTAATAAGAAATTGCATAACGCGTGATTTTAAAGATTTTAGTTCTATACAGTTTTAAATAGATGGAATAACATTAAGATCGTAAATAACTTAGTCAATTTACATTTTTAAACATAGACAATAATCAGAAGTCATTTTGACGTTGACAGTTGACAATTATTGTCTTTTAGGATTTACAATCTGGGAAATCAAGCAATGTCCAATTAAATACTGAAGAAATATTTGAGATCATAGACTATAAGAGGTTTTAATTAAATGTACCGGAATGGTCGCGTTACTTGAGTGACGCTGTTACGTCTATTGGCCAGCGGACAGCAATCAATCTCGTCTCACAAATGTTCTCCCTCTGAAAAAAAAAGTACTTTTAGATTCACTCCACTGTCAATTATAATTACATTCTTTAGTGTAGAAATGAAAAATTGTTACGGCAATTGAATAACTGAATAGAAATGTGCGTGATATACATTAAAATCGAACCGTCGACTAAAAATATTGCCATGGCAACAATGAAAGAAAAAACAAACAAATATGACTATCAGAGAAAAAGGACTATATGCGTTTTTCACTCAAACAATGGCAATCAAGCTATTGAAATTTTGTTTAAAAAATAGGAATCACTATTATTATACTGAAAAGAGGAATACTCTATCATTACTAGGTAATATTCGTACAAATATTCAAATCAAAATAGAAACGTCAGTGACCTCTATCTGTCAAATGTTACTTGACAGTTGCCAAAAAAGGTTTCAAATTTGCATATCAACAACTGTTTATTTTGCTTTTATATCTTACTCAAATTAAAAAATAACGTTATTGCTCAGTAAACGAAAACAATCAATAACGAAATAAACTTGCAAAGGGCTAACTTTAGTACAGGTGAGATTTTAAATTATTTATATGGCGAAATAAATTTTTAAAACCTACAATAATCCAAAATGTATCGTATACTGTAGCACTGATGTCAATTGCAAGGCTATCTGCGTATGCAGAGAGAAATACAAGTGCGTTAGTGATAGGCTATGTTCTGATAATTCTTATTCGTCATTCAAGTGTTGTAAATAAATTCAATTTTAAAAAATGCTCACGTTAACTGATATGACGTCACAATTAAATAGCATTATAAATTGTAATTACATCCGTATTGAGTTGTATTAAAGTGTATTTTACAATGCACAAATATTTCGTATCAGTTTTGGTCGAAAGCTCCTAATATAGAAATGTGTATGGTTTTTAGCAGTAACTTACGAGATAGTTTTCCGCTCGGTGGGTCGTGTGGTAGATTGTGGTCTCGCACGGTTGAGCACCTTCAGCAGTTCGCCTGCCTTAGCGCGCATACGGGAGTGAACGTACACCTATAATCATATTAATACTCTTACATATAGTTTAAAACCAAATACGATTACTTAATACTTGATAATTGTGTGGAAGGAGAACTGGCGTAGCAGTTATGGAGTTATATAATTCTTATTTATAACACTACGCAACGTGCATACTAAAATTGCGTCATATTAGTAACAGCCGTCCCACTAGTCGAAAGTCGCATAAACTTGATATTCTATGATTTGTCTTCATAATACTTTTTATGGAGCAGTTCCATTAGATAAGACGCGACTTTACTGTCGAATCATGCTCGCATAGATGACGTAATGTTGTCAACAATTAGTATGGTTTTATGACTGCGAGCGCGTTCAACTTTTTAATTTTCTTCGTAAGTAGTAGAGCACATCAAGTTCTATCTCGTCGGCGTCCATGTCGCGAATTCGTTACTCCTACCGAATGGCGCGAAACTACAGATCTACACGACTCACGCATGAACAGGGACATAAGACTTTCGACTTTAAGACGTATGCACTTAATTAACAGTAACTCTATGGACATCATTCTTGCTATTGCTAGTATAAAATTGCCCTAAACAAAAATAAAGCCAAGTTGATTTCAAAGTAGATATCTATATAATTTTTTAGATTAATTCCTTTACACTGTAAAACCAATACCGTTTACCTACTAATGACATAAAAGTTAGAATTGACAACAGAGTGCCGAAGCAATAATTGTGATGTCATCAACCAAACCTAACTATGTAATGCTTTCGAACGAAAACTTATTCAAAATCACTAATTAAACTGCTAATATAAACATAGGTTGAACAATAAAAATGTGCTGTTCATATAAATGATTATTTTTTTTGAAGTTATACTTTTTATGGCGCGTTAGGGAAAAATGATGAGAGTAAATTTTTACGATGCGCGCACACCGTCACAAAAATCCGACACCCTGAAGTTAGCTATAGTCAAATTATTTAAAAGAAACTTATCTTGTTACGCCAAAGAAGTATAACTTCTAACGCGTACTGTACGCACACGTTTTGTTATATCAGTGAATAATGAAGCAACTCCCGTCCTCAACCATGTGTTTACAGTCACAGAATCAGTGTATTTTTGTAATTTTAAGGAAATAAAAACATTATTTACCTTGGAGCACTTGATATGGTAATGCAGGTAGTCACGGAACATGTGAAGCAAATCGATGGTGTTGTCCCGTGCCGCTTCGCAGGTGTGTCTCGGGAACAACACTAGAACAGTTGCAGGAAGATGTCACTATATGAAAACATTGTATAAGGCAAATCAAGTACAGACTTCGACGAATTCGAGAGTTGACGGTACACTTAAACTTTACAATTGTTATTACTTTTCGTTGTCTGGTATAGGCAGCGGCGCGTAAGTCTAGCGCTGGCCGATACGTGGAGGGGATTGCTGCGCATGTGTACTGTCGCACGGGGGAATGCGACTGGAGAGCCAATCGACGCTACGCGCTAGCCTCCCTCAGGTACCTTATTTTTTACTTCTGCGCAATAACGGTCAGCGCTAGAGTTTCGTGCCGCTACTTGTAAGTGCAGTAAAATCACCCATTTGCATTCGTTATATTTTTCTGTTGTGTAAATGTTTATTATTATTTAAATAAACACATACTTTGTTTATATATACAGGTACATTGAATGCTGTATTATTCTTAAAATATTATCTCAATACTTTGTTGTTCCTTTCATACAAAGTATATAAATATAACTGGTTTATTTCTTTAGACTATCGCATTCTTGCCTTTGCCAAATTAAATGTTTTTATAGACAAGAAGGTCCCTTGATACTATTTGAGTCTAAGGGTCGTTCTAAGTCGATACTTAGCACTAAAGGTAAAATACAGAAACAAGATTGAAACGACGTCAAAAACGTATTTGATTTGACTTAGCAGTTTCGACTTTGAATCTTATCCAGAAATCCGATTTTCTTTTATCATATGATTTAATTTCTAACATAGAAAAATCTGGTGCACAAGTGGGATTACAACTCATGACCTTGAGTGCCACGATCCGAATAACACTGTTTAAAATATAACGTAGTATATATTAATAGCTACTAGGATAGGTAAACATGACATCATCCTCCAAATTTACCATAAGTTGGTAGACCTAATAAGTAAAATAATAATTTTCCTGTTGTTACGTTCTCATTACGAAACTGTTTATGCGTAATAATTAATAATAAAACAAAATATACGCTATAACTTTGTAGGTTATTAAAAATAAATCAGTGGCGCTACAACATTTTTATGTTTAGGCCTCAGATTGTTTTAAGAATCTTATTGTTAATAAGTATTTTATTGTTAATAAGTATCTTCCAAAATTAGTTCAATGGGATTTAAATAATAAGCAAATCAATTACATCTGTCTAATGCAAAGATGAAATGTATGGTTCGCAAAGAAACTTAGTTACTTAGATTTTGCTAAGCCTAAAGCTTGTGCGCGAACCTATTTTAATGAAGATGAAACCAAAACTATTTGTATGAAAATGGAGCATTAATTCAATCAATACATTATGCTTCATTAGCAAGTAAGACTTGACAAATTCATAAGCGCCAAGTGATTCCTATTATTTAAAACATTAGATTTGGTATCGGCTGACACATAAGTTGGTTGGACTTTATAACGGAGTTAAGTAATGCTTACCAAATGTAACATAGCTGATGTTATCGCCTACTTTAGCATCTGTATCTACCAGCTCTAGCGGTGGCTCCTTGTGTGAAAATAGGACCTGAAAAGTTAAAATTAAAGTGAAATCCCATAGCTATGTCAACGATTGTATGTAAAAAATTCAGACTTTTACTAATCAACCAACCAACCGGAAATCATGTCTTTGGGAACGTTCAAGTATTACGTAACGAATTTGGGGGGGGGTCCTTTTGTAAAACGTTACGATGCGGGGCGGGGATTGAATTACGCGTTATTGTTAATATTATTTTCGACTTTCCAGTACTTTACACCACATAATGGTAACTTGTAGGTATAAAGAGTCACTGGGTGGTCACAAAACGTTGGGTACAGAAAAACGTTACGGCGCGTTACATGGGGGGGTCCAATAATCTCCAAAAATTGCGTGACGTAATACTTGAACGCTCCCTTTCCCGATAAACTTGGTTTACCAAGCACATTAGTTATTAGTAGTAAAACATTACGCTCTATGGCTTGGTTATATGGCTATGGTTAGATTCTCAGAGAAAAATTTTGATCGTGTTTTTAATCAACCTATTTATACAATTTACCTGTGGTGCAGTATGTGACGCTCTTCTACCCTCTTTCAGCTCTTGCATGAACACTTTGCCAATTACTATGTCATCTTCGTGCCGGAAAACAGTAGAGAAGACTACAGTCACGCGATCTTCTTGGGCTTCTACGTACCTGAAATCAGGTTATGCAATTGTAATTCCATAATATATAAGATTGATGTTTTTTATACAAAAAATTACTACTAAAGACAACCGATAAACATTTTATTAATTACCCTACAATATATAATATGTATGAGGAATCTTACAGTGTCTCATCCTGTCGATAGTTGATAACAGCTCTTTTGTGGCTAACATCACCATCCTCTTGCAGCCTGAAGTATCTCTCAAACACAGAAGCAAAACAGTTTCTCTTTAGTAAGCCAACTTTCTTCACTGTGGTCTCCCAGTCTTCAGGAATGTTCTCCAAATCCAATAACACCGAGACATTGTAACCTTAAAAAAGATATGAAAAGAATTTTTATTAAAAGATATATCTTTTTTAAGATATGAAAAGAATTTTTATTAAAAGATATATAACCAGTTTATAAACTGGTTTTGTATGCATCTCATAATGATAAGACACTTAAAATATTTGAAGCCGCTCATTGCTTTCAAACCATTATCTTCTATTCAAACTCATATTGTAATTCAAATTTAAAAAATTCTATTTTACATACGAATCTAATACTATACAAATATAAACTTCAAATGTTGTAGACAATATAGGTTATGGTCAACACTTATAATCAAAGCCTACAGGGCTATCTAAAACTATTTTTTATCAAAACAAAAAATGTGTAAATATAATTTTAACAAAAAAAAGTAAGATAAGATTAATGTAATCTTATCTAAAGATACACAGAAAAACTGTAAATTTATAATATTTTTTAAATATAAAATACTTGAAGAAATAATAACATGTCTATATGTCAATATACTTCCATAACAGTAGAACAAGTGTTGCATGATTACTAGTAATAAAAACGTGTATGGACAATTATTTATTAATTACATTATAGTTTATTTTCTTTTCATAAATGTGAAAGTAACATTTACATTTTTCTACTTAAACAGCAATATTTAAATTAACATACAAACACTTTTCATCCAAATTGCCAATAATACCTTAATAAGCTACAATTAAAAAAGTAGTTTTAAAATAAAGACAATTCTCTGGATAAAAAGACATTTAGTTGACTTCTTAAAACTTAACATTACGATAGTATTAACTTATTTTAAAGTTGTCATTTGTTTGAGGTATTTTTTTAAGGTGTATTCTTGCATTACAAACTACAATAACATATTACCTGTTTCAGCTTCAGTGAGCAGGGAACCATAAACTCTTTTGAGCAATTCATCAGCTCCATGTTCTTCCAATTGCTTGTAGAACTTCAATGATATACTAACCTGAAATTTTAGATTTTATAACTTAAATATCCCCTCTTGTTGTTTATAACAATGAGTCACTGCAGATAATATTCAACCGGTTTCATATTATTGATAAGAGTAACCTACCCTAACTTTGGTTTTATCTCCATTGACATTGGATATATGAAAAAGGACTCCATCAAAATCTGCAACCGTCACATCTATGGACTCTGGCTTTAAGCTGAAAGGAAATTCCAACTAATAAGTAAACATCATCTACTAACAACATCCTGGGAGACAACAGAGCATTCTAAAGTGTTGTATCATATGGCACATAATTGAAATACTTTAATGCAGTAGGCATTCGAAAACATTTTATAGGACGTTTCCGCAGTTGTCGTCAATACCTACAAACATAGTGACTCATCACCAGTAATACTAACGAGCATCATTTTCGGCGGCTATTCTATGGAAATGTAAACCATGAACACATTGAAAACATTACCAATAAGATTCGAATTTTGCATATACGGCCAACGTGGGCCCACCCTATGGAAGGATATTTGACATTTGTCAAGATATCCCGAAAGGGGTTAGAATCTGGATTCCAAATTCATATTATATTGAAAATTTCTACTATATCATAGGTATTAAATATACCTTCAACAAACATGTAGAATATGCACACAACCAGTAAATGAATAATGACAAAAAACAGGTAAACTTTCTAAGCGTAACGTACTCACCGCGCCAGTGCATTTTTATATTTAACTGTTAACGTTTCTTCTATAATTCTATTGTTGATCTCCAGCAAGATCATTATTTAACAATTTATAACTACAGTTTTTACATAAAATTAACACTTTATAGCACCTTCATTTAATAATTCATATGAATTATCTTTAATATGACGACCGCCCGCACACAGATATTTCTATGACAGAAAGAAACGGATTACGGAAGCATCAAATAAATGAAATATCGGTCAACTACCCATAGATTATAGATATTTGGTATTCTTACCATAGTCCATAACCCATTCTATAAATTTGTAGGGCATTTCGTAGTAAAAAAACCCTTAATAATGTAGTTACTAATCTTTGGTAGCTAAATCCGATTTTGATTTCATTTTATGAACTTTAACCAAACTTTATAAATAATTTTTAATGACATAATATACAACCACTATTGGTTTTAAATCACTATATACAGTTGTATGAGTTCTGTGACAGTTGTATTACTGTGAATAGTATAATATAAATTTATCATTTGTGGACAAGTGTGAATTGTCAGTTGTCAAACTTATATATATGAAAATATTCATCTTGCAAGTTGCATCTGCATTCTGCATGGTTTAATTTTAAGTCTTGTGTTTATTTACTTTTAAGAAAAATGTGAAAGAAATTCAGCAAAAATCTAATTTTATTTTAATCTCCTACTTAGAAAAAAAAGAACTACAATGATAAATTAGAATTGGAAAACTGTAATAGCAATGTCGAATCAGGTAGCCGCTTTCGTAGCGGGTTTAAAATCCCGAAATGTGGATATCCAAACGAAAACTGCCAGAGAGCTGTATCACTATGCCAAGACCGAACTTCGAGAAGTGCCACAAGAGGAGCTTACCCAATTTCTCGATGAATTTAATCACCAAATATTTGAAATGGTTTCTAGCAATGATGTTCACGAAAAAAAAGGCGGTGTGCTTGCCATAGGTTCGTAAATTTATATTTCATTACCATTTAAAAATACATGGAAAAATATATGTAATAATTTTTTTTGTAATATTTTCGTTTGCAGTATGTCTTATTGGAGGTGACTGTGACACAACAAAAACTAGAATAACAAGATTTGCAAACTATCTTAGGAACCTACTTCCATCATCAGATGCAGGTGTGATGGAATTAGCCGCAAAAACAGTTGGACGATTGGCTACAGTGTCAGGCGTGAAAAGGGCAGAATATGTTGAATTTGAAGTTAAAAGGGCTTTTGAGTGGCTGTCAGAAGAAAGGAATGAGGGTAGACGTCATTCTGCTGTATTATTATTAAAAGAGTTAGCCATAGCTATGCCTACATATTTCTATCAGCAAGTATCAGGATTTTTTGATCATATCCTTGTTGCCTTAAAAGATCCTAAACAGCAAATACGAGAAGCTGCAGCCAAAGCTTTAAGAGCTGGTTTAGTGGTCACAGCACAGAGGGAAACTGCAAAACAGTCAACTGCAAAACCTCAGTGGTACATGCAGTGCTGTGAAGAAGCAATGTTGAGCTTTGAAGAGGTTACTATTAAAGAAAAGGGGTCATCAAAAGAAGACAGAGTACAGGGAGGCCTTTTAATTCTTAATGAACTCTTAAGATGTTCAAATGCCATATGGGAGTCAAAGTATACACATTTAATGAGAAGTATAGATACACAACAGGACATAATAGTATCAGATGACATTATTTTTATAAGTAGTAAGCTTCACAGTCCATCAGTCAAGAGAGGGTACCTATGTGATGGTTTTAAAACCGAAAATGTACAGTACCCAGTTCCTATTTATGAATCTGAAGTATGTAAAAAGCTTCTGTCTGAAAAAATTGAAAGAATATTTCATGGTATGTCTTTAGACAATTTATTTTTATTTTAAAACTTGTTTCAAGTGCCTCTGACCATTTATGTTAGTTTTTCAAATTATTTGTAGGATACTCATATCCTTAAAAAAAATATAGCAAAAAAAGGTTTACAGGAACTCCTGAAATAATTATTATATTGATTGGTTTAAAAATATATTACTTGCTAATTTATATATACAATAAATTGTTTTTTTGTATATATACAGTGTAAACTCTTTATAACGAATTTCAAGGGACCAAGCATTTTTATTCGTTATAGAGAGGGAAGAATTCATGTATGGTTATTGGTAAAACCAAATAAATTTAACACATTTTTATGTTATAGAGAGTTTTTCATTATAACGAATGACGTTATAAAGATTTTACACAGTATTTATACTTTGTAAAACAGTAGTATTATTGTGCACTTGTATATGTATTCATAGTTAATGTAGAGATAGCAATTACGCAGTTTCATTCTAAAACTTTTTCTTTTTTAAATTACAGATGTAATGGCCCAAAGACACTTAAAACTCCAAGGTGTACCACAAATTCTGCTGATCATAATTCCTCGATTGGCTGCTTTCAATAAAGAGTTGTTTTTGAGAAAGTATCTTAATTCTACAATGCATTACTTACTGACCTCAATCAGAAGCAGGAATATGGCATTTACAACGTTGGGATTAATGGCCGCAGCTCTGGAAGGTGATATAAGAAACTTTATACCTAGAATTATGGAAGTTATTAAACAAGCCCTACCAGGTAGAGACACCTTGACAAAGAAAAAAGGTTGGATAGATCCGTCTATCTTTGCTTGCATATCACTTTTAAGTAGTGCGGTCAAAGATCTTGTCATAACTGAAATCAAAGAGTTACTAGATGCTCTTTTTGCAACTGGTTTGAGCCCCTCATTAACTATCTGTTTAAAGGAATTAAGTGAGAACTTACCCTCTCTAAGAGAAGAAATATCTCAAGGCCTTTTAAATATGCTCTCTTTAGTGTTAAGGAATAAACAATTTTTACACCCTGGGGTGCCAAGAAGCTTAGAGCAACAGATGAGTAATAGTGTGAGTCTTGTAATAGAGCCACAGGATCCGGCTAGTATAGTCCTAGCGTTGAGGACTCTTGGCACTTTTAATTTTGAGGGGCACCATAGCCTCTTGATGTTTGTGAAAAGGTGCGCTGATCATTTCTTGCAGAGTGATCAGCAAGAAATTAGAGTGGAAGCTGTCAAAACATCAGCTAAGCTTTTGGCCGATGCTGCATATAGAACGAAAGATGAACCGTCAAAAACTCTCACTATGCTAACAGCAGAAGTCGTTGGTAAGATGCTGGTTGTGTCGGTTACTGACCCAGATTATGAGGTGAGGTATTGGGTTCTAGAATCTCTAACGGACATTTTTGACACACATTTAGCGCAGATAGAAAATCTCAGCTTTCCGTTCATAGCTATGAATGATGAACATTTGGAAATACGGGAGTTAGCTATTTGTATGATTGGAAGATTGAGTACTGTCAATCCAGCGTATGTGATGCCTGGTTTGAGAAAAACACTTATACAATTTCTAACTGAATTAGAACATTCTGGAATGAGTCGCAACAAAGAACAAGCTGCTAGAATGTTGGATAATCTTATTCTACATGCACCCAAGCTTGTGAAACCATACATGGAGACTATTCTCAATGTGTTAGTTCCAAAGCTTAAAGAACCGGACGTCAATCCGGGCGTTGTAATAAGTGTACTAAAAGCAGTAGGAGACTTGGCTGACGTGCACGGTGATAACTCTGGATTAAGAAAATGTCTGCCCGATCTGTTGACAATTCTACTTGACTTGCTCTCCGACGCAACTGCGACTGAAAAGCGCAGCGTAGCCTTGTGGGCGTTTGGACAACTCATCAGTGCAACAGGATATGTTGTAACACCTTATACTGATTATCCTAACCTTATGGATGTGCTTCTAAATTTCCTTAAGACTGAACAGCAACCGAAGGACAGGCGTGAAACAATTAGAGTTTTGGGCCTCCTCGGTGCTTTGGATCCTTATAAACACAAGTTGACAAAGTATAGGAAAGATGGCCAACCAAATTCAAGTTTGGTACCTGTTGCTGATAGCAAAGCAGAGGAAAATAACTTCGACGTGTCGTCAAGTGAAATGCTGGTATTGATGCCGACAGCCGTATTAGATGAATACTATCCCGCAATTGTTATCTCAACTTTAATGCGCATTTTACGTGACCCAACCCTTCAACAACACCATACAAGTGTAGTTCAGGCAGTGACCTTTATTTTCCAATCCCTCGGTATCAAATGTGTACCATATATATCCCGAGTTACTCCAAGTCTGTTGTTCGTTGCCCGCGCAACAGATAGTAACAGCTTTCGTGAGTTTCTCTTTACCCAGTTGGCGAAATTGATTGCGATAGTGAAGCAACATATTCGAAATTATTTGGATAAAATCTTTGAGCTAATCAAAGAATTCTGGACACCCAACAGCCCTCTGCAACCAACCCTGATATTACTTGTAGAACACATTGCAATCGCACTAGGATCAGAGTTTAAGGTTTATCTACCTCAATTGATGCCGCAAATACTTCGAGTTTTAGCGCACGACACCAGTAAAGAAAGAGTTGTAACGGAAAAGCTACTATATGCTTTACAAAAATTTGAAGACAATCTTGATGATTACATGCATTTGGTCATTCCATCGATCGTGAAACTTTTTGATGCAACGGACTGCCCTATTCCTGTAGCGAAAGTAGCAATGGAGACGGTTGATTATCTTTCTGATTCATTGAACTATAGCGAACTGGTTTCTAGAATAATCCATCCCATAGTTCGAAGTTTGGATAGCTGTTATGCCTTGAGAACTACGGCGATGGATACATTATGTGCCCTAATAGTGCAACTCGGTCGAAAATACAACGATTTCATACCCCTCGTGCAAAAAGTGGTGGTTAAACACAGGATTCAGCATCAAAATTATGAAAATTTGTTACTGAATTTGCAAACAACGCAATCTTTGGCATTAGATGAATATCTCCAGGGTACCAGGCGAAAACCAAAGAATAATAATCAGGAGGTGCGTTTTAAACTCTTCGTTATTTCTGTATGTTTCTCTGCTAGAAATTGACTGGATTTTTTTTACAGGCACGCATTGCGGTTTGTGATACATCGAATTCCATTCGGAAGTTGTATGTCAATGCTCACAGTTTGCAAATTGCCTGGAC